CTCTGCGCTGGTCCCCCCGCTGCCCTGCCCCTCCACAGAACTGAGCCGGGGGGATGCAAGTACAGAGCCTAGTGCAGCCCCAGCCGGTGCCCCTATTTCCTGAAGGGGGCTCAGCCTAGAGCCATGAGTCTGAGCCTGCCTCTGCCACTTTCCCCGGCCCTCCCTGGTGGTTAATCTGGCGGGAGCGTGGGCTGCTTGCAAACTCCTGAGTGCTGGGGCTTGTCCCGCTCCCCCTGGGGCCCCTTGGCCGGCAGCCCTGGGAGTGAGTGACAGGCCCAGAGATGGGACAAAGGCATTCTCCCCAGCCCTGCTGCCCCCTCAACCCCGAGTCCTAGCTGCACCACTGCTTCCCCTCCCCCTCCTCCCCCAGGCAGCCTGGCTGCTTGCCCTGCCTGTGAGTCAGCTGGGAGCAGCCCTGGAGGTGGCACCGGCTCTCGGCTGGGAGAGCCACACACCTTGGTACAGGCGAGAGGAGGCAGGGATCCCAGGGCTCCGGAGCGGGGAGAACGAGGGACAGGCCTGAGCCCCAGCTTGCCCCACCTCAAGCAGGGAGAGCGAAGACCGGAGCAGGTATTCCCCCACGCCGAGAGGAGGGGGAGCACCGTCCTGCTGGGAGGGGGGGGCATGAGCAATAAGAAGGGGCTGCCCCTGTGGTGGGGGTAGGTTCCTAGGGAGTGGGGAGGACCAGGACTGGGGCTGGGGTGTGGATTTGGGGCGGGCAAGCACCACCTTCACTCGGCGTGGGCAGGTGACAGCAGGGCACTGGCTGAGCGCCAGAGCTGTGCTGTACCAGCCGGGCAGGGAGCTCAGGGCACTGGCAGGTGGGTGGGGACCTGCAGGCAGTGCCTGGCATCAGCCCCAGCCCACACGAGGGGTGACAGGAGCAGCCTGCGTGAGCCCCCCACAGTAATGGCTTCCTGGGGGGCTCTGAGCAGCACAGACTGCACATGTATCCAGCCTGTCCTTGGCACCATGCATGGCCCCGGCATCCTCTCCAGGGAGTGTGGCAGCCGGGGGCTGTGGCTTCCCAGCCCTGTGATGGGCCTGGGGCTACTCGCAGGAGCCAGGCACTAGGGGGCTTCAACCCCCTTCACACCCTCCATCCACATGTGGCCCCAGACCCAGATCCCTGCCAGCCAGCGTGGACCATGTCCCAGTATGGCCAGCTCCAGCGCGTCCCCGGGTCAGGGACTGTGTTAGCCCTGCTGGCGGGCGCTAGCAGCCCCTTGGCTGCTGGGGCTTGGATTCAGGGCTCTTACCCTGGTGCCTCTGCACAGCAGGGGTGACGCATCCCAGCTCGGTCTGGGGCATCCAGGAGGGGCCCGTTGGGCTGTGACTAACCCCACAGTGCGCCTTGTGCTCCTGAGCCGTGGTGCCGGAGCAGGGACTCCTGTGTGCTCTGCCCCGCTCTGGCGCACGTCCTTCGGGCCGTGCTGGGAAGTGCGTGCAGGGCACGGCTGAGATCCCTGATCTCCATGAAAGTGGCCGGGGGCTCAGAGAGCGTTTTCCTGCTGCTGCCTGGGCTGCAGAGGACAGAGAAATGCCATCTTGGCTAATGACCCTTGGAGCATTCCTGACACCAGGGCCTAGCTCCCCTGCTGCGCAGCGCCTCTGCCGAGCCCTCAAGCAGGGGCACTGGGTGGGGTGGCAGCGCCACGCGGTCCCTTTTCCCTGGCCTCGGTGGGTTTGGCACTGCCCCGGGGATGCAGGCACCTGTCCCCAGTGAGCACACTGCAGCCAGGCAGGCCTGTCGTCCAGCTGCGCTCACTACCCTTTGGCCTGTGGGGAAGGGCTGAGCCGCTGGTGGGGTCGAGGATGCCCCAGCGTGAAGCAGCGCTTGGTACTCGTAGGCTGCAGCGCGGCTCTGGGCCGGGTCGCTGCATGGAGCTCACTGCTGCTCCCAGCATGGAGCCTGGAGGTCCAGCCAGAGCAGCTGCAATTTAACAAGGTGGGAGAGAGTCCTCAGTGAGGGCCCAGCCAGCCTCTGCAGCGCCCCCACCCCTGCTACTGCCCCTTGCCCTGAGCATCCAGCCCTCTTGTGACAGTCTCTTGGAGATGAGGCTGGGCGTTTCAGGGCTCTGGGCTATACAGCAGCCTGCAGAACTGGGGCTTGAGCGGCGGGAGGGCACATGGGACTGGCCAAGGCAGAGGCTGCTCAGGGCTGTGGCTACCTGGCACAAGGTCCCTGGTCAGCCCTAGGCCTTTAGGTTGCTACTGGCTGAATGAGCCCTGGGCATGGGAGCTGGGGGTGCAGAGCAGCAGGGCTGGGTCAGTGGCAGGGCAGCAGCAGGGACAGGGGGAGGAGTAGGGAGCGCCCAGCCCTGAGCCTCCCAGAGTACCTCTTGGGCTAATGCACGTGGCAGCGGCCCTGCTTTGGGGCAGCCTGTGTCCTCAGCCCCTGCTCCTGGAGCAGTCTGCTGGCAGGGGCAGTGCTGGAGGCCCGTGGGTCTGTCTCACCTGGGCAGGGGGATGGGGTCAGGACTCCTGGGTTCTAGTCTCTGCTCTGGCTGGGGTCTAGAGGGTAGAGTGGGGAGGAATGGGAGTCCAGCTCTGCCCCCAAGTCCCTCAGTGACCAGTGGTGAGTCACTCGAAGCCTCTGTGCCTCAGTTTCCTTCCTGCACACGGGGGTAGCCCTGCAGAGGGGGCTGTGAGGGGCCATCTGGGAATGCCGGAAGGGCTGGGGAGACACTCTGAGCACAGGTCCTGCAGGTGGGTTAGCTCTGCAGCAAGCCAGCAGCTGGGATTTCCCGGACTGCTTCCTCCAGCTGGGATCCCTGCTCCCATGGCAGTGCTGATGGGCTGGGGAGGGCCTCCCACCCTGTGACCACCACCATGCCCTATGGCTCAGGCTGTGCACTTCCACCAGCAACCTCCCCTCCCCTGCCTTGTGGCCAGAGCAATCCTCCTGTTGCCGGACAAGGGCGATTTCCCCCTGCCCTGGGGCATGGCCTATTGGCCAGGCATAGCCTGGCAGCTGCCCCTGGGGATCCTCCTCCCTATGGCTCCAGCTGCTCGCCAGCCCCCCAGGCTCCCTCGCCACCCTACCCCCTTCCTGTCCTTCATTAACAAAGGGGTGGGTGGCAGGGGCTTGGCCGGGGCTTGGCCCAGCACAGCCCCACAGCTTCCCTGCCGCTGTCCCTGAGCTCAGACGCCTGCAGCACCCACCTCCTGGTGCGGGGAGCCCCACGGGTCCATGGGGCACCCTGGCGGCTGGGTGGCACGTGGCTGTATCCTGCAGAGCTGGGGAAGGAGGAGCAGGCTTTGGGGCCTGAGGGGATCCCAGCTCCCTTCACTTGCACGGCATTAACGGCCAAGGCAGAAATGCCAGGCCCTCCCAGGCAGCTCTGCCCTGGTGCTCAGGGCAGCTGGGAGTGGGACGTTGGGGCCGCTGTGAGTGTCCCCCTTGGGGGGGGGGGGGGGCTTGGTGAGCATGCGGGATGGCTGCCAGAGCCCCCTAGTGACACGCGGCAATCTGTGGCTGTTGTGGGAGAGCCGAGGGGAACGGCAGGGGCCTTGGCGTGCCCAAGGGCCAGGGCACGTAGGCATGTGCCCTGTGCATGCACTGAGCCCAAAGCAGCGCAGGCCGGGGCCCTGCAGACAGGACCCTGCAGGGGGTGGCTCAGTCACCCCCCAGGAAGACCAGGCCTGGGCCAGGCAGGGGTGCTCCGAACGAAGCAGCTGCCCAGGACAAACCTGGTGAGGGGCCCCCGCCCAGCCCGTGGCTGACGCATGAAGCTCTCCGCTCGCCCCGGGCATGGGGTGGGCACGGCTCCATGCTGTGCAGCTGGCTTGGGCTTGCCCGGGCTTGCTGAGCTGGTTAGGCTGCACCGGGTATGTTCCTGTTTGCCTCTTGGCCTGGCGCCCGTCCTCTGCGTCTCCGCCATGCACCTGGGGCAGCTGGCTGGCTGAGCCCTCCGGCGATGCCCAGTCACCGGGGCCACGCAGGCCCCCGAGCCCAGGCTGCCCGGTCCCACCCTCCCACGTGCTCTCTTCCCCTGCAGGAGGCCTGACCCCCCAGTGCGGTGCTGGGGACGCAGACCCGCCGCATGGCGAAGGGCCCCAGCTGCTGCCACGGCTGCTGCCACGGCTGTGCCACCTGCCTGCTCGGCCTGTACAGCTGCCGCTGGGCCAAGAACAAGAGGAAAGGCCTGAGAACCACCAAGGTGAGTGGGTGGGAGCAGAGCAGAGCTTGGGCCCTTGGCCTGCCCCTCCCGCCGGGCCGCACGGAGAGAGCCTGGGCCTCCTGCTCATGGGGGGGCTGGAGACGGCATCTCCCTGTCCACTGCAGTGCGGCAGGTGGGGGGGCCCTTGTGGCCCAGGCTGTGGGTGCTGGGCAGCAAGCGCACCTGTCCTCATGCCCGCGGGCAGCTCTCCGTGGGGCACAGGGCAGCAGGTGCTGGGTCACGGCAGCGCTGCCCTGAGGGGGGCGCTCAGACATTCCCCTCTGCTCGAGGCACAGAGCCCTGCCGGGGCTGGGAGCATCGCCAAACACTGGGCCGGGGGCGCATGGCCCATCCCGTGCTTTGGGGGCATGACCATGGTGGGGGCAGGGGGGCAAGTCTCCTCTGGCACGGTTGCATTTCCTGGGAGCAGTGGTGACGTCAGACTCGCTCCCAGCCCTGCTGGGCTCCTGCACCCATCCCGCACCGCAGACAGCCCACAGCCTCCTGCGCGTGCCAGGGTCCCCAAGGCCCTGCAGTGCTGGGGGGCCGGGAGATCCCAGGGGCTCTGCAGGGCTGGGGCTGTTGGGGGATCCCAGGGGCTCTGCAGGCTCGGGGGCGGGGGGCCCTGGGAGCCTGAGGCCTCTAGCTCCCATGGGTGGGGCTGAGTAGCAGCTTGTCCCATCTTGTTGGGAATTTGAGAGCAAACTCTGATTAGAAACGTGCCCCGCTTGGCGGCAGCAGCAGCTCCCTGGGTGTGGGGCCGGCCTGAGGGCAGAGGACACCGTCTCTGGGTCGGTCCCTGCTTACGCTGCTTGGCTAGGGCACCCGGGCTGCCAGCACGCCCACATGTACTTAGTAACAGCACTGGAGGCTCTGTGCTTCCACCCAGGGTGTAATGTACCTGGCAGCCGCACAGGCAGGGCTTAATTTGTACCGAGCTGGGGTGGTACCGAGCGGCCGGGGGCATCCGTTATGAATGTCAAGTACGTTTTTTTTTTTTATCCCCAGCCCCTCTTCCATTGCACAGGGCGCTGAGGCCATGGGGAGGGGAAAGATGGGCCCAAGGTCACACAGCAAGTCGGGGAGGGGCTGAGAATAGAACCCAGGAGTCCTGGCCCCTGCTGTAAGGACTATTCCAACCCTAAGCTGTTTGAACCCCCACTCGTTCTTATGGGACTCCTGTGTCTGTGCCTGCCCCATTCGGGGCTGTGGCTCCATCCCGGCCTGCTCCCGAGGTGGGTAAAGCAGCACCCCCTGGGTGGTGATCACCACCCTCTTTCAGGGCTTGGGGGAGGTCCTGGTGCCTCTTCCCACTGTAGCGTGGAGGCAGGGGCGGGCAGAGCACAGAGCCAGGGAAGCAGCCGTGATGGCCTCTGGCACACAGCTGACACCCTGGCAGACAGGCGTGGGGCCAGGCTGCCCTGGGCTCTCCTGCGGACGCTCTGCATGCCCAGGTGGCTGATAGCTGCGCTGGAGGGGCCAGGGCGTGGCCGGTAGGAGCCTTGCAGTCTCTTACGTGTCCGCTTTGGTTTTCAGTGCGACTGTAGCTGGTTCTTCTTCCTCTTCTGCGTCTGCCTCTTCGCACTCGTATGGCTCTACCATGCCCTCATCCTCCTCAATGACTTCCACAACTTCAATGAGTGAGTACCCGTCTGGACCCTCCCTGCCCCCCCCCGCCTGTCTCCCCCCCCCCCCCCCCCCCCCCCATTGCTCCCTCCCCCCACCGTCTGCCTCCCCCAGCACCTGGCCCCTCCCTTCCCCACCCCCAGTGTCTGGCGCCTCCCTTCCCCACCCAGCGCAAAGCACCTCCCTTCCCCACCGTCTGTGCCTGCCCCTGGTGCCCCCAGCACCCAGCCTCGTCTGACTGTCCCCTCTGCTTGGCAGGTTCCTCTTCAGACAGACGCAGTGGTGGGTAGACTGGTCCCTGCCCCTGCTCGGAGTCACGGTGCTGCTGGTCACCTATTCGGCCCTGCTGCTGGTAGGTCCTGTTCTCTGGGGCCCTTGCTGCATCCTACCTGCTGGAGACACTGCTCCAGATCTGCTGTGCTGAGCTTGCTCAGGTCCTCTGCTCTTTGGAAGCTTCTGAACGACGCTGATTGGCCCGGGGGGGGCAGGGGCCAGGGCCCAAGGGGTTGGGCTGGCCCGGGGGGGGCTGGGGCCAGGGCCCAAGGGGTTGGGCTGGCCCGGGGGCCCTGGCTGTCTGAGCAGGGCCCTGCTCTCTGAGATCAGAGTGTCCCAGGAGGGCTGCTGGGCGGGGGCTCAGGAGCTGTCCTTGCAGGAAGCTGGAGAGGGTATCCTAGAATCATAGGAGTGGAAGGGACCTCGAGAGGTCATCTAGCCCAGTCCCCTGCGCTCATGGCAGGACTAATTATTATCTAGACCATCCCTGACAGGTGTTTGTCTAGCCTGCTCTTAAACATCTCCAGTGATGGAGATTCCACCACATCCCTAGGCAATTTATTCCAGTGCTTAACCACCCTGATAGGTAGGAAGTTTTTCCTAATGTCCAACCTAAACCTCCCTCGCTGCAATTTAAGCCCCTTGCTTCTTGTCCTAGCCTCAGAGGTTAAGAACAATAATTCTTCTTCCTCCTCCTTGTAACAACCTTTTATGTACTTGAAAACTGTGATCATGTCCCCTCTCAGTCTTCTCTTTTCCAGACTAAACAAGCTCAGTTATTTCAATCTTCCCTCATGGGTCATATTTTCTAGGCCTTTAATCATTTGTGTTGCTCTTCTCTGGACTTTCTCCAATTTGTCTACATCTTTCCTGAAATGTGGCGCCCAGAACTGGACACAATACTCCAGTTGAGGCCTAATCAGCACAGAGTAGAGTGGAAGAATTACTTCTCGTGGCTTGCTCACAACACTCCTGCTAATACGTCCCAGAATGATGTTTGCTTTTTTTGCAACAGCGTTACACTGTTGACTTATATTTAGCTTGTGGTCCACTATGACCCCCAGATCCCTTTCCGCAGTACTCCTTCCTAGGCATTCATTTCCCATTTTGTATGTGTGCAATTGATTGTTCCTTCCTAAATGGAGTACTTTGCATTTGTCCTTATTGAATTTCATCCTATTTACTTTAGACCATTTCTCCAGTTTGTCTAGATCATTTTGAATTTTAATCCTGTCCTCCAAAGCACTTGCAACCCCTCCCAGCTTGGTATCGTCCGCAAACTTTATAAGTGTACTCTCTATGCCATTATCTAAATCACTTATGAAGCTATTGAACAGAATCAGACCCAGACCCAGACCCAGAACTGATCCCTGCGGGACCCCACTCATTATGCCCTTCCAGCATGACTGTGAACCACTAATAGCTACTGTCTAGGAATGATTTTCCAACCAGTTATGCACCCACCTTATAGTAGCTCCATCTAGGTTGTATTTCCCTAGTTTGTTTGAGACAGTCATGCAAGATAGTATCAAAAGCCTTACTAAAGTCAAGATATACCACATCTACCGCTTCTCCCCACCCCCCACATCTACAAGGCTTGTTACCTTGTCAAAGAAAGCTATCAGGTTGGTTTGACACAGTTTGTTCTTGACAAATCCATGCTGACTGTTACTTATCACCTTATCTTCTAAGTGTTTGCAAATTGCTTGCTTATTTATTTGCTCCATTATCTTTCCGGGTACAGAGGTTAAGCTGGTCTGTAATTCCCCGGGTTGTTCTTTGCCCTTTTTCCAGTCAGCTGGAATCTCTCCCTCTTCTATAACTTTTCAAAGATAATTGCTAATGGCTCCAATCTCTCCTCAGTCAACTCCTTGAGTATTCTAGGATGCATTTCATCAGGCCTTGGTGACTTGAAACATCTAACTTGTAATTTTTAACTTGTTTTCCTATTTTAGCCTCTGATCCTATCTCATTCACTACGTTAGACATCCAATCGCCACCAACCTGCTTGGTGAAAACCGAAACAAAGAAGTCATTAAGTACCTCTGCCACTTCCACATTTTCTGTTCTTTCCCTCCCTGCCCCCTCATTGAGTAACAGGCCTACCCTGTCCTTGCTCTTCCTCTTCCTTCTAATGTATCTGTAGAAGGTTTTCTTGTTACCCTTTATGTCTCTAGATAGTTTGACTTGCTTCCCTGGGATCTTACCTACCAACTCCGAGTTTGCTAAAGTCTGCTTTCTTGAAATCCGTTGTCTTTATTGTGCTGTTGTCCCTCCTACCATTCCTTAGAATCATGAACGCCACCATTTCATGATCACTTTCAAATTCTCAACCAGTTCCTCCCTATTTGTCAACATCAAATCTAGAACAACCTCCCCCCAGTAGCTTTCTTCACCTTCTGAAATAAAAAATTGTCTCCAATACATTCCAAGAACTTGTTGGATAATCTGTGCCCTGCTGTGTTATTTTTCCCAACAGATGTCTGGGTAGTTGAAGTCCCTCATCACCACCAAGTCCTGAGCTTTGGATGTTTTTGTTAGCTGTTTTTTTTTTTTTTTTTTTTTTTTTTTTTTAAAGCCTCATCCACTTCTTCTTCTTCCTGGTTTGGTGGTCTGTAGTAGACCCTTACCATGACATCACCCTTGTTTTTTACCCCTTTTATCCTTACCCAGAGACTTTCAACAAGTGTCTCCTATTTCCATCACAACCTCAGTCCAAGAGTATACTTTTTTTAATATATAAGGCAACACCTCCTCCCTTTTTTCTGTGCCTGTCCTTCCTGAGCAAGTTGTACCCATCTATACCAGTATTCCAGTCATGTGTATTGTCCTACCAAGTCTCTGTGATGCCAGCTATGTCATAGTTGTCTTTATTTACTAGCATTTCGAGTTCTTCCTGCTTATTCCCCATACGTCTCGTATTAGTATACAGACATCTCAGATACCGATTTGATTTTCCCCCCGCCCCAGTTCTGTCTTCTCTCTCTCCTTTATCCCTGCTCTAACAACTCATGCTCCCCACAAATTCCAACCCTTCTCCCAGGTCTCCATGTATTCCAGCTCCAGCATCTCCCTTGTTCCTCTTGCAGGTTCTCGCTCTGTGCCTGCAGCTCTGTGGCCAGCCCTTGAAGTTGCATTGTCTGCACAAGGTAAGGGCCAGCTGGATCCTGACACTCGGTGCATCCTGCACAGCCCATCCCCACCCGAACTAGCATCCAAGCCCTGCCCCAGCCCCCGGCGCCTCCGCACCTATAAGGACAGGGTTTGTTTCGCCTCTCGGGGGGCAATAGCTGCTCCGGGGGACAGCACCTGGCATGGTCAGCCCTGGGAGGCCCCCTGCAGTGGACCAGACACCACCACCACCCCCCCCCGAGGTCTCACTTTTCCTCCAGGGTGAGCCATGAGGCTTCACTGCCCCCTTAGGCCCAACCCCTATGGCTCCAGCCCTCCTGCTTCCCACTGTGAGATCTGGTCAGCCAGTGCCGCTGGGAGAGACTGGAACCTAGTGCGGGGATCAACGCACTCAGCCAGTATCCGTAGTGATGCTCCAAGTGGGGCCAGCTGGAGCACGTGGGCAGGGTCAGCGCAGAGCTGAGGGCTAAAGCCCAGCCCAGCTAACTCAGCCACGCTGGCATGAGCGGGCTGCAAAGCCCCGACTCGCTCTTCTCCCCCAGGCCTTCTGCCCCGAGCTGGGGGATGGCGCGGAGAGGTGGGGAAATCCTGTCCCTTTGGGTCGCTACACGTCCATGTCCCGGTGACGGGGTTCGCTGTCCTCTTCTCGGACTCCCCACTGATGCAGGGTTGGCCTTGGCCAGTCTTTCCACTGAGGCATCCCGGGTCGGACAGCCAGGTGATATTCATCCCGATGTCTCTTAGCCTGCCCTGAGAGCAGAGTCCTGCCCCCCGACCCCTCTGCACTGGGTAACCATATGAAATAGGGGAACCCTGAGGCACACATCGTATTCACAATAACATTACAGACCATTTCCCCCTTTGCCACGGGGAGTCGAGCTCCGCGTTTAACCCGGGGCAGCAGGGCTCCAAGAGGGGAGGGACCCAGCATATGCAGGGTGAGGGCAGGAGCAGGGACCCCAGCTGCAGGGGTCGGCTCACCCTGCCCAGGGGAGGGTAGGCCCCGGCAGGGTCCCCGGCTGCTCTGTGGTGTCCAAAATGCATCTGGTCCTAACTGCCCCGTGCCCTGCCCCCCCCCCCCAGTGCCTGCTGATCCTCACTGCCCTGGTCGTGGCCGCAGCCTTCGTCGCACTCGATGTGAAGTGGACTGAGCAGTGGCAGAGCGCGCGCATCTCTCTGCAGGTGAGAGCAGAGGCAGAGCCCTTCCCATGGCCCAAGGGCTCTCCCTATGGCAAGGGGGAGGGGATCCTGTGGTTAGCCCCAGCCCCAGCGAGGTTTGGCTGATTCTCCCGCCAGGCCTGTCTGACTCCTGCAGCTCCCCCCTGCAACAGGCCCTGTGTCGCTCCAGGCTAGGGCCCTCCGGGGGCTCACACTGAGCGCCAGGTGCTGCACGGCCCCGATGAGAATAAATAGCCCCTCCCAGAGCCCTGGGGCAAAGCCGCCTGGCTCCCAGAACCTGTCCCTCCTCCATTCACTCCTCTTGGTATGGTCACTTCAAACCCAGCGATGCCAGCTGCTGGGCAGCCCAGCGGGCCGGGCCCAGCCCAGCAAGGGGGAGCCCTGGGGGGCTGGCTGTTCCTGGCAGGTGCAGGGAAGCCTGGCATGAGGGGTGGGCTGCTGGGAGCTCTGGGTCGGTGTGTCTGAGAGCATGGAACCGGAGTTCATAGCTGGGCACTGAGTGGTGCTGGTGTGTCTGCCCCACAGGCAACAGGCCCCTTCCTGCACATCGGAGCCGTGGCAGGCGTGACACTGCTCGCCTGGCCTGTGGCCGACTGCTTCTATCGTACTCGCCGTGCAGGTATTCCTGGGTCCCGGGGTGCTGAGCAGGGGTGGGGCCATGGGGACTCGGCTTTTGGGTCAGTTCACCCTCCCACACCTCCCCTCTGGTGCTGAGCAAAGGCCTGTCTGCATCCTGCCGCCGGCATGCAGCTGCCCTGATGCCATAGCCCTGCTGCGCTGTGGTGCCTGCTCCCCAGGGCTGCACCCAGAGATGGGCCATAAACACTGTCCCAGCAGGACCCCAGAGCTGTCCCTGCACCGCCTCACCTGAGGATGGACTAGTGCCCAGCATTTGCCCTGAAAGCGTAGGCTGGGAGGCAGCTCTCCCTTTGTTCTCAGCCATGCAGGGTCTAGGACATGCGGCAGGGGGTTCCCCTTCCCTCCATGCACACGCGTCCTAGCCAGCACCCCCATGGCTCAGTCCTTTCCTGGACTGGGAGCTCTGCAGGGCTGGGGCAGCTGCCGCATGACAGCCGGGAGCCCCAAACGCCAGCGACCTGGGCAGGGGCTATGTGGGCAGTGCCCTGGCGGGAAGGGTCTGTGCAGGCCCAGCCACACAGCGCTGCTTGGTGCCCAGAGCCCATCCGGGCTGGGGCTGCCCACACACCTAAGCAGGCGGCTTGGCACAGTGCAGGGTGGCCAGAGGCACCTCCGAGCCCCTGGCTAAGGGCTGCTCTGCAGGGGGCACCTATCTCCATGGCTGGGGAGCAGAGGGGGGACCTGTTGCTCCCTATTCTCAGGCAGGGGTGGGGAGCCTCCCTGCCCCCCCCCCCCCACACACACACTGCAGGGGGAGCAGCCCTGGCTAATCCCTTCCCACCTCCAAGTGCCTGCGGTGAGGCTGTCCCTGACCAAGCTCTGCTGTGTCCGTGTGTCTGTCTGCAGCCCCCAAGGTGCTGCTCCTGCTGGTGTATTTTGGTGTGACAGCTGCGCTGTACCTGGCTCCCCTGATGATCTCCTCGCCCTGCCTCATGGAGGAGAACAAGCTGCCCCCCAAACCAGCGCTGGCCGGGCACCGTGGGGCCCCCATGGTGAGTAACCTGTGCCCAAGGGCAGCTGCCCTCCCCGCCTGCAGTGGGCATGAGCCCTCCCTGCTCAGCCTGGGACGCACCAGCTGCCCGCAAGCGCTGTGCTTGGGAGCAGGCAGGAGCTGCTCCCACCACCGAGGGACAGCTTGGAGGCAAAGGCAGGTTACAGCCCTCAGCG